AATATACTACAGTAAAAATCTCTAACCTGGTTAACAGTAAGTTTCCTTTATACCTACTATTTTCTTTTTATATACAGTCAATAACCGTAAATTCACTTTCCCAGAATTCCCTTTGCTTTAATGCTGTTTTGGGTAATGTCATAAGGGATACAGCTGACATATATCTAGCATAATTTTTGTGACCCTGTACACAATTAATGGGTAATTTAATAAATAATATATAATATACTTGGTATAATCACTGTTTTTACATTACTGTGATGGTTGTGTTTAGGATTGTGGTTAGATTAGATGTTAATAAATACACTTAATTGGTAATTTAATAAATAATATGAATTATACTTGGTATAATTACTGTTTGTACATTACTGTGATGGTTGGGTTTAGGATTCAGATAGGGGTAGACCTTAATAAAATACATTTAATGGGTAATTTAATAAATAATGAATCAGCGACCTTCTTGATGTGAGGCGACAGCACTGCTGCGCCACCACACTGCCCAAAATTACATTAAATGAAATTAAAAATCAATAAAATGTAAATAAAATACATATATAGATATTATTTTACTGTGCATAATTCAAATTTTAATCAAACAGAATTGAATTCAACAAATTTACATTAAAAATGTTGTCAAATTTACCCCCCCCCCAAAAAAAAAAAAATATATATATAGATATTATTATTTTCTTGTGCAGAACTCATACAGTATATATATATATATATATATATATATACACACACACAAGACAATAAAAACCTTATGGTAAATCATTATGACAAATATTTAGTTATATTTATGACATTTAAAAATACTAAATAAGTACTCATAATTTAGATTTATATTTCATAATTTAGACTTGTATATTATTATTATAACTATGACAAGTGAGAAGTTTGCATCATAATTATAGCACAATATCTCAATTAAAAATTATAAATACATATAAAAGTATAAAAAAAATTATTAATAAATAACACAAATAAAGCTATTACTGTACATAAGCAAGATTTATGGATCTGTGATATTTTCAAATTAATTATCATAATGTTCCTAGAAACTTTTTACCTTTCTTGTTTTTAAACCAGTCTAGAAGATTTACTCAGTACATTGCTTATAATTAAAACTAATGTGGAAAAGATGATGCGAATGTTTGTTTGTTTGTGAATAAAATGTTTCCCGCCTTGTTGAAGGTCTTAACTTATGAATATTAAATCGATTACGTGACTGGACGCTCCACAGGGGTTATCAAGCAACGTCAGCGTCGCTTGATTAATATTCATGAGCTAAGCCCTTCCCCGCAGTAGCGCTGCTGGTTCTCTGGCGGTGTGAGCGGAGCTGCACAACGGGAGAAAGCGCGCACAGAGCGGCTTGCGTTTCCGTCCAGCACCGCGAACCATCGAAGTCACAAAGCCCGCTTTTGTGTGATATGTGTCGACAACCTATCTCAGAAGTCTTAAATTAAAACACAACCCTACAGTGAGAAGAATTCGGCCAGCAAAGCAGCACATATTTCAGGGGATTTTACATTTGTCTCTCAGCGTTTGGAAAGTTCTCATTGAGCTTACAGGCTTACCTAGTGGAAAATACCAAATCCGATTCAATGAATTAACACTGGGTGCATTTTCATGCGGAATTTAATAGACTCGGAATAGAGAAGTTTAATGGACTTGTCTCTCACTGAAAGTTTGGGGTTTAAATACGTGAGAACACTGGTGAACAGCGTCATCTGGCAATGCGCTGTCTAATGAAGATACCCTGTACAAATGATTACACTGACGCAAAATAAAGCATGCATCACCGCAATTCTGCGTTGGAGGGAGAAGTTACTAGCTAATTTGAAGCTTAATGGCAATCACATATATATAGTAGCTCATAATTATTTTTTATTATTATTATAATAATAATTATTATTTTAATTTTATTATTTAAAATATTGTTTGATTAATTAGTCATGGTAGCATATGTTTTTAGTTTATTTTAACTTATTAAATTAAGTTCTATCCTAATTTTATAAGTTATGGAAGCTGTTTTAAGTCAGTTTATCATAATAAAAGTTCAATAAACTCATAAGGTTAATTTTATTCAGCTGAAACTTTTAAGGCAACCAGAATTTTTACTGTGTTGTAATTAGTAATAATTTAGATGTTATTATTACACTGTAAAAAAATCCTGGTTGCCTTATTTATTTATTTATTTATTTATTTATTTATTTATTGCTGAATCAAATTAACCTTATGAGTCAATTAAACCTATATTATGTTAAACTGACTTAAAACAGCTTGATTAACATAATTAACTTAGTTTAGTAAGTTACAATGAACTAAAAACATATGCTGTCATGACTAATAGATCATATATTTTTACTATTTATGTACTTTATATTAGTACATTTCATCTCCTAATTTGTCTTCATTTAACCTTTTATCATTATATACAGTTAAAAAGATTTTTGCTGCTAGGTCAAAGTACTTATTTATAATGAGCTGAATCAACACAATTCTTACGTTTATGGGCGATAACATAAATGTTTTTGTTCAGTCCACTTAAATTTGTAAAAGCAACTTGATCGTTAATATAATATAATATAATATAATATAATATAATATAATATAATATAATATAATATAATATAATTGTAAATAACTTAATCAATTTGTGTTTGGACAACATATAGGAATTATTTCGAAGCCAGAATTTTTTACAGTAGTATGACTTATGCCAATTTCATATCAATCTACATCATAGTTAAGGTTTTTTTAATAATGTTCCAGCTCCATCAAAGAAGTCATCACAAAGTCCATTTGATAATCATCTAGATCAGGGATCACCAAACTTGCTCCTGGAGGGCCGGTGTCCTGCAGATTTTAGCTCCAACCCTAATCAGACACACCTGAACAAGCTAATCAAGCTCTTACTAGGTGTACTTGAAACACCCAGGCAGGTGTGTGGAGGCAAGTTGGAGATAAACCTTGCAGGGCACCGGGCCTCCAGGAACGGGATTAGTGACCCCTGATCTAGAGGTTAAAGATTGAAAAACATTGACCACCATGACAAAGTCCAAATAAAAGACATGAAAAACAATATAATAACCAAGTCCTGACACCTGCATGCACCTAAATCCACGTTTAAGAAACAAATAAGAGACCTTCAGCAACTGATCATCCCGTTATCATTCATAAGCCAGCATAAAATCATTAGCAGGGCGGATCTTCCATCATGCGCTCTCTCAGAATGAAAGCATCTTTAATAAAAATGACTGCTATATTTGATTGTCCTTTGATTAAAGGCAATAACTGTGTAATAATTACAGTGTGAATATACACACAAAACAAAATACAGGTCACAATGCATGCTATTGACTACTGGCTTACCTGCCTATTATAAAGGGTTATTATTAGTTATAAAGTATGATCTTATTCTGTGTCCGTTATCCATACCCAAAACGCAACCCAACTTCTACCTTATAACAATTAATAAACACCTAAGTAGTAGATTATTAAGCTAGTTAATTATTTGTAATACTGTGAATTGTGCATTACTAAAATATATTTGAATATATACCATGTTTTTAAGGAGGAAGCAATTAAAAAACGTTTTCATGACCCAGCATTTGGTCAAATACAGACAACATTAGGTCAGTTATGGATATATAAATAATCGGTCACACCATAAGGTTTCATTAGGTTATGTATTTACTAACATAAACTAATATTAAACAATACTTGTGCATTATTTATTTACACAGTTCAACATTTAGTAATGCATTATTAAAATACAAACTCATGCTTGTTAACATTAGTTAATGCATCGTGAGTTAACATGCTAACAACGAACAACTTTATTTTTATTAATTATTTTAATGCATTAATTTTAATGATGATTTTTATATTAAGTCTATTAAACTTACATGAGACCTTTTTTAATTCAATGTCTGGCTTGATTTGACCTCATGCAACATTGGATGACAGCAATCCCAGCATTTTAATAGTGTGAGCTATGATTTTAACCCTCTGATTGTTTTATATTAATCTGCATGCTTTGTTTTTTTTTTCTGTGGAGAGAGGATAGAGTGAGCTGTAGGCGGTATTTTTTGGCCGGGGCAGCCTCGCGGAACAGGGCGTGAGATATGGAGCATGGAGTCCGCGGTGATCGCAACTTCTCCCGGATTCCTGCGGAATGAAGCCCGCTGTCCGCCTTTCCTCCGGTGCTTTAATATCCACTGCATGAGCAAGTGCGCGGTCATTGCTGCAAAATATTAGGCTGACTCTGTACTGCAGGACCATGTGTTTGTTTCCTCGCGCTGACTGCTTGGTTTAGCGTAAATGACGGATACAATGAGAGTTGCTGAACGCTGAGTGCTGTTCGGAGACGCTGATGTTTATGGATTTGACTGGAGATAACTGGGCGATCGCGGTCACCGGATCGTACTGCATTACTGCTGGATGTAACGGGGGTGACAGCTTGTAGGCAAGTGCTGATTGTTTGTCTAAGCAGGAAGGACTCGGTTGAAGTGACAGGCTTAGTCCCTTTAGCATGAAGAAATATCGATGCGATCAACTTATGTGGAGTCTCACTGCTGCAGTTTGTATTTGTGCACACACTGCAGTGTTAAACATACAAGATTGCAACAGATTTTAATCTTATATATCTTTAAAATGCAGAATGCCTGTCATATATTCATGTTTCGCTTGATATGCATCATGTTAAAGGAAGTTCGGGAGTAAAACACGCCGTGTTAATGCCAATTGTGGTAACATTGCATGCGTTTGCGTGAACATGCATTGGCAAATAATGTAGATACAATTCAGAAGGTGCACATGCTTCAATCCAAATAGTTGATCTAGTAGTTGTTGCAATCTAGTAGTTGTTGCGTGTATTAAACGTTGATGTTACACCGCAATCCCGACATCAAGAGCACTTCCAGAGCGCGCGAGGGATGGACGGTGTCTCGCGGAGAGCTCGGGGTCTCTGTGCTCTTTTATACGGGAGGTTGGGCTCCATATAGGTCGGGCTTTTGCATATGTGTAATCAAACCAATGAGAATCCCCTGCGCGTCTGGCACACGGCAGAGCAACAAACTCTAGGAAGAAGAGAAGCGTAATTTAGGGGGTGTATCCCTTGTTTAAGACGCTGTTATGGCAAAGCCAATCGCCAGATGTTTGTGTTCCTCACTCCGATTTTGAGACTAAGCAGAACGCCGGGTTACTATACGCGGAGGCTGAATCTCGTATCCAAGCCGCACTTTTTTAGCCAAAGTCTAGCGATCTTTCTTGTCTTTGCGCACAGGATTACTCGTCTATTTCGCGGAACTGCAACGATTTTTTCCCTTTTCTGTCATTCTTTAACAGGGCGAAGGAAATGGCAAAGGAGAGAGGATCGGGTCTGGGAGAGCGCAGAGGAAACCAGAGCTGAATGGCAGGATGCGAGCGACCTGAAGACGCACAAAACCGCACATTTCTACAGCTCTCAGACCCTTTTGCGCGCTCTTTCGGTTTCCTTCTTTACACGCGAGAGGAATTACCCAAATACGACCATCTGAGGATTGTCTCATCGTTTTTTGCCAAATTTGTGTTATTTTTCCGCACTCCGAACTCCAGGATTCGAGGATGCATTGTGGATTAGTGTTGATCCTCTTTACGGGAATCTTTCTCATCGTCAGTGCTCTCAAAAATGGTGAGTGTCGGCTGAAACTGACGGCTGTCTAATGACTTTTTCTTGGGATTAGATGAGGGGTAAAGCCTGTTAACGAGGGGTTGCGACTTCGGGCTGGTCACCTGCTCTCACCTGCCGCCGCTTTCTGGCTCTGGATGACCAGACAAAACCATTTCACAAATCCGCGCTGAGATCCAGCTCGTATTTATAACACCGTACAACAAAACGCGCGGTGTGATTGTGCCCAAAACATGCGTGTATCTGTAATTAACATAGCTATTATTTACAAAATAGTAAATATTATATTTCATCTCATTCATTTGACTTGCTTTATTACATTATGGTTTCTAAATTACGAAATGAGCCTCTATTGTGCATGCGTTTAGATATTTACAAATATTAGACACTCGTATTTTAATGTGTAGGCGACAGTATAGCCTCTTTTTATATTAATACACATCTGCTACTCAGATGTTAAACATTACAATACGTTTAAATTAGTACTCTTAATAAACATTTATAATATAAAGTGCTACATAAAGTCTTGTTTCTCCAAAGTTTAGGGTTTCTGATCGTAATCTTAAGAAAAATATCCACATTAAAGCATTAAATATTCCAGTGAATCGTAATAATGCTTGTGTGACTTTATTTTATGATCTACAATTATACATTTTCATTTAGGTTTGAATGTAAATAGGTGTAATAATGTTATTAACTTGTAAAGTTATGCTATTACTGACTAGGCCATTTGTATTCTTCTTCTTATGTTTCTGTTCCTGTATGTAAATCAGATAAAGTGTGTATCTTAATCACGCCTGTCCAGACTAAAAAATCCTGTGGGATTCTAGCAACATTTTCTCGGGTCACTTTAATGTAGACTTGGATACAAGATAGTCGCCAAACCACTTTAGGCACGTGGAATAAGTCATGCATGTTGTGCACTACATTATTAAACTAAATGAATGATTCAATATACCAAATTTGAGTTTTAAAAAGTTGTTATCGATATTATTTCACATTTTGGATTATCAACTTCCATTTCAAAACATCTAAGGATTACTCATTGAAGTATATATACATTTACTCCTGTTGAAATAATGTTACACTTTACCTAATGTAAAACATCTGGATCGTTTATGTATTCTTAATCTAGAAACTTAAAAATCTTGATCTGTTATTTATTTATTTATTTTTTGCTTGCTCCATTTGTCGACAAATTTGCGTTGAAACTGACAAATTTGTTGTCTGAATATGGACTTGGACACAAGGTAGTCGCCAAAGCATTTTAAGCACATGGAATAAATCATGAGTGTTGACCCAATTTGAGCTTTAAAAAGTTGTTATAGATACTAACCACCTATTACAAACCTCTAAGGATTATTCATTAAAAATCTACATTTAATACATTTATAATCCCTGTCAAATGACCTGTTAACATGTTACACATTACCCAATGTAATGCATCTGGATAATTTAGTTATCCTTTATGTATGCTTAACCTAGAAACTCAAATATCTTGATCTGTTTTTATTGCTTGCATCGTTTGTTGATGAATTTACATTGAAATTGACGAATCTGTGGTCTGAATGTGTTCATTTTTATTCTAACAAACAAAAAAGACAACGTGTTTGTGTGTAAACATCTCCATCAGACCCTGAGCCATGCGCTTACTCTGTAAGTTTGTTTGTTGTTGATGGATATGATGAAATTCAGTGTTGATCCGCTGTGGAAGGGACCAAATAAATGAAATATTTAACAGACAAAGGTCACGCTTCCCTCCCACATAATGACATTAAATGTAGGCGCAAATATCAAGCCTTTATTTAGTGCTTAGAAATGGGTCAGAAATGACTAGAGGAGATTGTATCTCAGAGAGTATTTGGAGAGAAACGGCACAGTCATTCTTATGTCAAACCACAATAGTGCTATTGTATGAGGTGTTACAAAATAAACCATTTAGGCAATGTGATGTTGAACATGCACTGTGGGAAATAGATACTAGAAGAAAATCCAGTGTTAAGAGTGTTTAAAAAGCTGTTTTTATTATTGTATGGCTTCGCTTTAGGTTGATAAACAAACATAATCATGTGTTGTAGTGAGACTGATTGAACTGAATAATCTTTCTCTTTTAATTCTCCAACATAAGGAAAATACTCCACGTAAGGAAAAGCATTCAGAAAGCAACATGTTGGTATTTTCTTCCAGCATGCGTGATAATGTGTCTTTTCTGTTCTTTCAGACAAATGTGGGGACAATATCAGGATCACTAGTGCCAATTATCTCACATCGCCCGGCTATCCAGTATCTTACTACCCGTCTCAGAAATGCATATGGGTGATTACAGCTCCAGGACCCAACCAGAGGATTTTGATCAACTTCAACCCACACTTTGACCTGGAAGACCGAGAGTGCAAGTGAGTGTTGAGCGTTCAGTATTTTGTGTGGAGCTGCGCCACCTGCTGGTGCTGATGGAGTATATGCAGAACACTCATCTGGTGGGGCAGAGAGAGAGAGACACACATGTGTGCTTGGTGTCTTTAAAGGGATAGTTCACCCAAACAGGAAAATTCTGCCACCCAGAACAAACCACAGTTGTAAAACTTGTACATAATTAACTAATTTAAGCCCTTGCATTGTATATTAAAGGGACAGTTCACCTAAACATTATTGTTCTGCCATCATTTACTCAAAACAAACCACTGTTGTGCAACTTGTATTTACGTAACTAATTTAGGCCTTTGCATTGTATATTAAAGGGATGGTTTAGACAAAAATTAATATTCTGCCATCATTTACTCAGAACAAACCACTGTTAACTTTAGTTATTCTAATTGACCCATTTAAACCTTTACATGGCACATTAAAGTGATAGTTGACCCAAAAATGAATATTCTACCCTCATTTAACAAGAACAGACCACTGTTATCTTATCTAGTTAACCTAGTTATCCTATTTCAGCCTTTAAATTGCACTTTAAAGGGATAATTCACCCCTTAACTTGATCAAAACCTATTTAAAACTTCCGTAGTATTATTTTCATGCTATTGAAGTTGGTAGCATTCTTCAAAATATCTTCTTTTGTTTTCAACACAAGAAGTGAACCAATAAAGGTTTAAAATTACATGAGGCAAAATAAATAAGGAGGTAATTTCTATTTCAAGTTCTAAATTCTCTCAGATTTGGTTCTTTTTTGTCACTTTATTTTAAGGGTTTAATTCTCACTTCTAACAAACCATTCACTAGGATTGTTAGCTCAATAAACTCACAATTATCTGCTTATTCATTGTATGTAAGGTAGTAATTGGGTTTAGGTATTAGGTAGGATTAGAGATATTGAATAAAATCATACTTTATTAGTACTTATAATAATCAATGTCTTAATAATAAACAAGTACTGCTTAAACAAAATAATTACTATTGAACACATTCTTTATTATATATATATATATATATATATATTTTTTTTTTTTTTTTTTTTTGTGCTCAAAAGTTGAAAAACTGAAATAAATAAGTTTAAAACAACATGATGGTGAATAAATGTGGCGATTTAAATTTTTATTTTACTATCTTTAACTTTTTTAGTTAGCATTTTAGCTTTAGCATTTTTGACGTGTTTATTTTCCTATAAGTGTGTTAAAAGTGACACGATGTGTGTTTCCTTTCACACATTGTCCTTTAGCAGTTTTGTCAGGCGAGTAGATAAACAATGAGCTATTGAAAGCTGATTTCTTATTTTTGCATCATGATTCAACATGTGGTTTGCTTGCTGTAGATTGATGTGTCTTTCCTTTCACACTTTGTCCTTTGGTAGTTTTGAAAGCATTTATCAAAATATCTTCTATTGTGTTCATCAGAAGAGATGAAATAATAAAGGTTTATAACCACATGAGGGAGAATAATGAATGAGGCAGCTTTCCTTTTTGGTGAACTATTCCTTTAAGTGCTGATTTCATTCAGATTTGGCATCTTTGACGTTTTAATTTTTTTATAGATGTGTTAAAAGTGACAATGTGAATCCTTTCAATAGTTTTAAAACAATGAGGTAATGAAAGCTGATTTCTTATTTTTGCATCATGATTCAACATGTGGTTTGGTTGCTGTACCTTGTTTCCACTGAGTCACATTTCAATCTAGATACAATACTATGTATTAATAAACCCTTACGTAAGGCTTTTAGCTCAATAAACTACTGGTTTGTTGCTTATTATTAGTTATTAAAGTAGGTAGTACTTGGGTTGATTAGGGGTGAAAAACACCATACTAAGTAGTATTAAACAGACAATATTTTTTATATCAAAGCAAGTAATACCTCCATAGTAAATAGTGGGTATATACTTAAACTTCAGTGTTACCTCTATTTTCTCTTCTATAAACACGTTAAAATAAACCAATGTGTGTAAAAGTTTTCTTTCACACGTTGTCTTTTGGTAGTTTTGAAAGCATTTTTCAAAATATCTTCCTTTGTGTTCAGCAGAAGAAATAAACTAGTAAAGGTTTAAAAACACATGAGGGAGAATAAGAAGGAGGCAAATTAAATTTTTTGGTGAACTATCCCTTTAAGTGCTGATTTCATTCAGATTTAGCATTTTTGACGTTTTTATTTTCCTATCAGTGTGTTAAAAGTGACACGATGTGTGTTTCCTTTCACACATTGTCCTTTAGCAGTTTTGTCAGGCGAGTAGATAAAACAATGAGCTATTGAAAGCTGATTTCTTATTTTTGCGCCATGATTCAACATGTGGTTTGCTTGCTGTAGCTTGATGTGTCTTTCCTTTCACACGTAGTTTTGAAAGCATTCTTCAAAATATCTTTTAATTTTTGGGTGAACTGTCCCTTTAGCTACTGATTTAACTCAGATTTGGCACTATTTTTCTATAAATGTGTTGACAGTATGACACAATGTGAGTTTTCATTCAAACGTTGTCCTGATTTTATTCAGATTTGGCATCTCAGACATTTTTAATGTGAGTTTTCTCTCCTTTCCTTTCTCTTTTAATAGTTTTGAAAGCATTCTTGAAAATATCTTTTAATTTTTGGGTGAACTATCCCTTTAACTGCTGATTTAGTTCAGATTTGGCATTATTTTTCTATAAATGTGTTAAAAGTGGCAGGATGTGAGTTTCCTTTCACACATTGTCTATCAGACATTAAGATATTGAGAGCTGATTTCTGATTTTTGCATCATGATTCAACATGTGGTTTGGTTGCTGTCCCGTTCTGCACTGTAAAAAGTGTTACCTTGATTTAACTTATAAAAAGTGAGGCAAGTGGTTGCATCGGATGTTTTAAGTTGATACAACTTCAAGACCTTTTTAAGTAAAATAAACTCTATAATATTACTTAAAACAAATGCAACAAAATCAAGTTGAGCTAACTTATAATTCTAAAATTACTCAGTTAGATAAACATACTTTTTTTGATACAGGTAACTTATTTATAGTTTGCGATATGTAACCTGTACTCATTTTAATTAGGTTTTAAAAAATATATGTTTTTAGTAAAATTAACCTAATCATTTGATAAATTAACTTATTTAAATTGAGTTCTGGCTATAACCTCAAACAAATAATACTTTCTGTATTATAAGCACTATACAGTGAACAGAACTAACAACAGATTAACATACTCTCCTCTCAATAAGAATTACAAGTTTTATTGAATAAGAAAAAATGAGAAGTTGGATTGAAGACCATAACATTTATTGAAAGTCAACCATTGTAATCTTTAACAGTGACTGCCAAAAAGGGTCATAAATGTGGCTTCAAATTCACACAAAAACACTTTGGTATGCATACATTTTCAACTTGTTCTTAACAGTCAAGTCAAATATCCAAATTGCCTATGACCTTTTATCACACTGGAACGTTGACAATGTCAAAAACGAATAGAGTATTTCTATAATTTGAACTACTATGATTTTTTAAGAACTCCCAAATTGTGCCAAAACACTGCTGTGTACAGTATATACCTCGTGAGGTAATGACTGACAAAGAACACGATCCAAAGTCCACATGAATTTAAGGCACTGAAGAATAAACACAGAGGAAAATAACAATGGAAATTAGAAAATTATATTGCCAGAGTTACCTGGGTATTGAGATAAAAAAATAAATTCTTAAAACAAATATTTTTATCACCCTGAACAAATATTAACAGATTTTCTGATTACAGTACGTTTCACTTGGTATTTGGTAAACTTTTTTTTCAAATTATGGCAGAAAATGCCATATCCACGAAGAATTCTATCTAAGATAATTTGGTGAGAAGTTTTGCATACTTGGGTGATGACTTAGGACGCATGGGGTCCAATCCCACAAACAGCCTCTGGTAAATCTCAAACGTATACATCAGTTTAGATGGATACTTCAGGTCAATGGCATATGTCAGTCCAAAAAGTAGGCAGCATGCTTTTGCCAGGTTTGGCAAACCTCTGACCACGGGCTGTCCTTCTATGATGATGCCAATCGTGTCGGGCTGATGGCACATGTAAATCTTCAGTGGACAGCTGCCAAGCTCAGCATGGACCTCTGTTTCCTCACAGCTCTATTGGTGGAGACAAAAAATTATTTGGTCAGTTTGGTCAGACAGGTAATGAGATGAATTTAGCAGACACATAGAACAAAAATCAGACAAAAATTATACATTGTACTTTGTTCATAAAGGTGGATACTCCGCGGGCTCTGTGACTACAGCATGAGACCAAAATAATGCAGACCAAGGAAATTTCAATGCTATCATGATCTAGCAAGTGTGTTGCATTTTTCTGGTTCAAAGCTTACATTACAATAAAATATATATATATATTCCTTTCCTGTACTACTTTGATCATCACATTAAAGCGATAGTTCACCCAAAAATGTTAAATTACTCACCCTCAAGTGGTTTCAAACCACCATGAGTTATTTTAGTTTAAGTCAAAACAACATATTCAAGAAAGCTGAAAACCTGTAACCATTGACTTCTATAGTATTTGTTTTTCCTATTATGGAAGTCAATGGTTAAAGGTTTTCAGCTTTTTTTCAAATTGATTTATTTTGTGTTTGACAGAAGAAAGAAACTAATAAAAATTTGAAGTTATTGTGAGTAAATGATGACAGAATATTTAGTTTTAGGTGACCCATCCTTCAAGAGCAAAAGCAATTACCCCATATCAACACAATATCAATACAAACAGAAAAAAAAATTTGAAAAGTAGATTTAAGGCCAAGACATACATGGTAGACACTGATGAGATCTTCTTGTCTCTCTCCCATATACTCTACCAGGCATCTCAGAACCACTTCTCTCCTTTTGTCTACAGAGGCAGATGGATCCTGTCAAAAAGTAAAATATGATCAAAATTCACAGCTGGATGACAACACAAACCACATCTGTAACCACATCCACTCTGTATTTAAACTAATCATTCAATTCT